TTCATTCCCAGTTTAGCTTGTTTCTTTGGTTTTTTATCATTGTTGGCAGCATTCCCCATGCCTAGCGATCATTGTTGTACAGCCTGCATGGCACCTCTGCAGCTCAAATACAATCATGACCTCTGTCCCTCTTGCCTCTGCCTCCAACACTTGAGGGGAGGGCCTATCGGAAGATCCCTGCATGAACTGCAGCTACATGCCTAGTGCAGTCAGGGATGCTAGGCGAAGAGGGTTGGATCAGCTCCTGGGTGGTGTCACCTCACAAGAGCAATTGACTCCTCCCCTTCTGTCCATGGCTCAGTGGTTGACCAAACCCTAGCCTGGACGATCAAAGTATATAGAATACATGTAGAAAAAGGCAAAGGAATCCTAAGTTTGCTTCTTAGGTGGACCAGTGAACGGCAGAGCTTGACGACCTTAAGGCTGCCGTCTTAGCCCTCCTGACAGAGGTAGGTAGAGGAAGCATACTTCTGCTGAAACCACTGCAGGTCTGAAGGGGCATGTCCCATCAATGACAGCTTCTACCAGAGTTTGGGGAATATGGGGGAGATTTGCTATCCCATGATCGCGCAAATCTCTGAGGACAACTCAATGGGGCCTGTTATTCAGATGGCTCTCTTGATGCCAGACCTGCAGCAGGCACAGCCACATCGAGCAGGTGACTTTTTTTGGGTGCAGCTCAGCCCCGGTCACCTTCTCAGTGCTTCCTTCAGAGGAATACCTGATAGAGTTGCAAGTGTCTTGGAAAGATTTGAGAGCCCTCTCTCATGCTAGGGTTAGGGTACAGAGTGCTTTGTGACAACAAACAGCGTTAAATGAATCCCCTGTCTCCTGCTTGTTCAGCTCTGACTTTATGAGAAGACTCAGGCATTCGCTCATACGGCCCACAGGGCTCCGCCTCCTCCTCGTGTCATGTTTACAGCGATAGGCTATCTGCTGAAATGGCTTGTCTTGGTGTTCCTTTAGCCAAGCGCAGACCGAATTAGCATCTCAATATCAGCGGGTCTACCTGCTGAAGGTGTGTTTAAACCAAGGTCTTCACAATAAAAGTTACAGGTTTAAAGGTCTATGGCTGGCTTTTATTGTGAAACAGTGATATCAGGAAATGGGGTATTTTCAGTGTAGCAACGTAACACAATTTAGACTTAGATACAAACATAGGAGAGAAACAAAACTCTAAACCTCTCAGATTCAGTCTACGATGTCCTGAGAAGTGAACTAAACGTCTTTCTAAATGGAACTCTTTCCAGCAGAAACCTTTATGATGGTGAGGACTCTCCTCATATAAGCTCATATACCTTTAAAACAACACATTGATAATCTTGCCTCTCAGTCGAGCTTAGGTGAAGCTAAATCAGCCTTTAAGGACATAACTTAGGGAACATTCTTACAGCCTCAAAATACTAAAAGTAAAATCTACTTATTTTTCTGTTAAGTTAGATGAAGAGGATGTCAGTATTTTCTTTAAAAGTTGGGAGGAAATTCCCTGTCATAAAATAGTAAATTATTTAAATATTGTAAGCCTTGATTTGATATGTCATGACATTTTGCTGCTTGTAAAAAAGTGGCAGGTAAAAAAAAAAAAAAAACAGTGACGGGTAAATTTTTGAATCCACCCCCTTCAAGACAATGGCCATTTATGCTTAAGGCATGACCATGGGCTTCATTCCAGCCTGATGTAGGACTCTCCCTCACAGTTTGTCAAAACCACACCACTCAAGGGCAGTGCTTGGGGCCCACAGGGACCCTGTCAATGTCCATCTAGCCCTCAGATGCTGCAGGGCTCCACCTGCTCAGTCTCTTTCTGGAATACTGTCCTCATACACACGAACAGGTAGCAGCTGTTCTCATCCTGCTCCACGGATCTCATATATTTTTTTTTTTCAGCTTTTTGCCTTTATTTGAGAGGACAGTAAATAGAGCGAGAAACCAAGGAGTGGGAGAGGAGCCACAAGTCAGACTTGAACTTGGGCCACGCGACATAACCACTAGAGTGCCGGCGCCCCAAAACAGGATATTTCTGCTGAGCAGAATTTACTGTTACTTTTATTTGTTGGCAGGCTGTCCCCCACCGTTGGATAGTCGCAGTGCATTGTGGAGCAGTTGAATATAAAAAAATCAGTTATGGCCAATTTGGTATTCATCCATGAAATTCTCACATACACAAAATTGTACACTATGAATTCTGACTACACACTGTGTGACGTCATATCATAACCTAACCCTTATTGGTCCTCACAACTTCAGGTGTAGACAGACAGCAGGACATCATCAAGGTCATCGAGTGGGCACCTTTTTCCACAGTGTTGTATCAAGATAGGCCAACCAATAGAAAGAGAATATGGATTCAGAAACATTTAATAATACAAACATGATGTCATGTTCTCTTCTTCTCTTCAGACACCATAAGAAGGCGGTGAGGGGCGTGGCCTATCACAGACTGTACCCACTGTTTGCTTCAGCATCAGACGATGGATCTGTCATCGTCTGCCACGGGACTGTTTACAAGTAAGCCACAAATACACACACTGTAACACACACACTTTAATATACACTGTTACACACACTGTAATACACACTGTATCACACTGTAATACACAGTGTAGGGGCAGAGTATAATTACACAATGTGATTAGTATTATGACATTTTTGATCCTATAGTGTCACTATATCACTGTCTCTCTCTCGCTCTCTCTCTCCCTCAGTGACCTGTTACAGAACCCGTTGATCGTCCCGGTGAAGGTTCTCAGAGGTCATGTGATTACTCATGATCTCGGTGTTCTGGACGTGACTTTTCACCCCACACAGCCCTGGGTCTTTTCCTCCGGAGCAGACGCCACCATCAGACTCTTCACCTAGCAGCCGACCCGACCTGGCATCCTGACCACGGACCTGGTTCTAGCATTGTGCCCATGGTCTCCTAGCAACCTGCCTTTAGGTGATGTGGTTTCTAGGAGACCACCCAGCTGAATCTTACGTAGTTTTTAAACTTTGGCCTTGTTATTGTTGTTGATTTTTAATTAAACTGAAACTTTGTGCACACTTTGTTTTCTTGTTACCATGGTGATTCAACTGTATTTGTGCTTTATGTGTGAGCGTGCTAACATTAAAGGAACTGAGGCTGATTGATACCTTATCTCCCTCAGAACACACCTGGTCTAGACTACGAAGAGAGTCCAACTTACCCAGGGTATCTTTGTGTGATCTGGCTTCACTAACCCTAACATCAGAGACCGTGATTAACAGTCACATGAAGCCGCTTATCAACATAAGTTACCCTCGAGTTTCAGAGAGTGCGTTCACATAAAAGGGGCGGAGTTAGCTTCATATAACTATCACAATCATCACTGTGTCTCCCGTCAGCAGATCGTCATATCTAACAAACTATATTAATAATATAAAGAGGTTTAAAACAAACCCAGAGACTAAAGTTACACAGCTGCAGGAACAAATGCAGGAAGGACAACTGGCAGAAAAAAGAAACATCAGAGAGTATTAATGTCCAAACTACAGATTATTATATTTCTGTCCCATCGTTAGTTCACCTTAGAACTGAAGATAATAACCTCCTGTTTTTTTCTCTGAACTGGATGTGTGTCTCTGACTCATGTGGAGAGTATAACAGTTTGAGAAGTTATAGTTCAGCTCTGATGATAACAAACAGAGCAGCATGGGGACACTAAACATTCATATGAAGATATAATTCAAAGACATAAGAAAATATTCATCCTTCAACATCTTAAAAACACAACTCAAAGGCTCCGGTGCTTTTTTTTAGTCTCTGTTGAAGGATAACGGAGACTTCCACAGGTTGATCTCTTATCTCAAACATAACCTGGAGCAGGTTAGGTGTGCAGCAGAGGTTACCATGGCGATATACCAAGGTAACAAGTGAACCACCTTCGTAGGACTGAAAACTCAGAGTTAACCCTGAAGTGACCTCGCTAACCCCAAATCCTGCTTCATAGCACAGACCCCTGGTTCTGTTTAGTTACCATAGTGATCATTACCTGTTATTGATGATAATAGGTCGACAGCAGATTTCAGAAACGGCTTGATCTGGTCTAATTAAGATTTTCAGGGGTGCTGGTGGTGCAGTGGTTAGTGCGCACACCCAATGTATGGAGGCTATAATCCTCCAAGCGGGCGGCCCGGGTTTAAATCTAACCTGTGGCTCCTTTCCCCGCATGTCATTCCCTACTCTCTCTCCCTGATTTCCAACTATATCCACTGTCCTATCTCTCCATTAAAGGCACAAAAAGCCCCAAAATAAATCTTTAAAAATTAAAATTAAAAAAAAGATTTTCAAATGACGGGGAATCGTCATGTGCTGTATTTGGAAAAACGACATGTCATTACAGGCCCCCTTACAAGCGCCCCCTTTGCTCTTTTATCTTGCTACATAATAAAGTATGCACAAAGACATTTATGTGTTCTTCATAGTTATATTTACCATTTTTTTGGGTACCAAGAATGATGTCGTCCCGCTCTCCCTCAATTTTAATTTTGTACTCTCCTGATTGATTTTAAACTAATTTTCCTTCACTGTACTGAACTGCCTCTCCATACCTGGATCGAGGAGGTCAAACCAGAGAAAGTCGTGATTTGTTCAGACTCAGCTCTGATGTCCTGAACGAGGTTGACCTCTCCACCTGATATTATAAATGACATTTTGATGACTTTGTTTGGCGTTACTGAAACAGTTACACACATTTTATTATATTTCTTTATTATATTTGTATTATATATATTGTTTTATGATATCTTCATCTTCAGTTAAAACGTTGTTTGGTCCATATGAGAACCAACACTTGATTGCAAAAGCAATGATTAATTTTCTACGTGCTAATTGTTTTCAAGAATTGAAAGTTGTTTGTATGATGTAGTTCCTGTCTGCCTGTGGAGGACAGCGATGCGCCTAGCTGCGTCCAAACTGCCGGAATAATTACAAGACAATTGGAGGAAGAGACTTTTATTGTGAAAGAAATATCGGCGCATGTGGTCACGTGATTTCCAGCGGAGTGTTTTTGTTGTGACACCGACATGAGGAGAGCAGAAACAATCACACCGAGCCGCGAGGACTGCGTTTACACCAGCTGCTACTGGTGAGCCTATTAGAGGTGGGGGGGGCCCGGGTCAGACCCGAGTCACAGGTCTGAGGACTTTGGACCCGGGTCAGACCCGAGTCACAGGTCTGAGGACTTTGGAGTTATTTACAACTCGGGACTTCACTGTGACTTCCGGTTTTAAGGTGTTATTTTCTTTAGGTCCCTATGATTCCCGTCATGCGGTAAACACTGACAGAATCACCGAGTCAATGAAAATATAATAAACTGAACAGAATCTTTTGGGATTTGTCTCAACATGGCTCAGATTTATCAAATAAAATCTACGTTTTTCAGTGTTTCATAAAATGATGACGAGTTTTAAGCGCGTTTGGTTAACTTGCAGCTTCACGATGCTGCTCCTCCTCTGCTGTCTGCATGACACACACACACACACACACACACACACACACACACACACACACACACACACACCTTTGTAAACACAGACAATGTTACAATGTTAGATTTACGAACAACCGAACATGCCAGGAGTTGACTAAGACAAGTAAAAACATAGGGAAGGGTAGAAATGGAAGGGTCATCAGTTTACACAATTAAAATAAATACAATATTCAAGAGTCTTCAGGGCCTTGGGGTTCTCAGAGTGCTGGATGGTTTTTATGTACTCATTGAAATAATGTTTGAAAATAGGTTTTCTGTTCACAAATGTACTTTTATGGATATGAAATTTAGCCAAAATTTTAAAAAAGATTAATAATATGGAACTGTTATAGTTTCACAGCATGCTGTAGTCTGTGAACTTCTCCACTCAGACTGTTAAGAGGGGGGGGGGAACTATACTGTCTGTGAACTATACTTCCTGTTAACAAAATTAAGGTGAGAAAATCTCATCTTTAATATCTAAATTTCCTGACCTGATCAATTGAAATGATCCAAATGTGATCTGATAGAAACTAACTGTCCAACAACACAATTTCTAATAGCTGGTTCTAGAGGAGTCTGACTGTGGTTCTGTTCTTCTTGTCCTGCAGTGAAGAAAATGTTTGGAAACTCTGCGAGTATGTCAGGATGGAGAGAACCGGGCCACTGGAAGAAATGTTTGTGGTTTTCATTTCTAATGAGAACCGAATGGTGAGGACACTCAGAACATCAGCACAAGAACACAACACAGCACAGACAAATTCTACAGCCATCTTAAGGTTTTACAGAACATGTTCTTTGAAAACAACCATCATGTTCTACAGAACATGTTCTGTGTTCCTATAGAAAGACCTTCAGGTTGTACAGAACATGTTCTGTATTCCTATAGAACACCTTTAAGGTTCTAGAGAACATGTTCTTTGTTCATATAGAACACCTTTAAGGTTTTACAGAACATGTTCTTTGTTCTTAAAGAACACCTTTTAGGTTCTACAGAACATGTTCTGTGTTCTTAAGGAATACCTTTGAGGGTTGTACAGAACATTTGCTGGATTCTTAAAGAACAACCTTCATGTTATACAGAACATGTTCTGTGTTCCTAAAGAACACATTTAAGGTTCTACAGAACATGTTCTTTGTTCCTAAATAACACCTTTTAGGGTTCTACAGAAAATGTTCTGTGTTCTTAAAGAACACCTTTTAATATTCTACAGAACATGTTTTGTGTTCCTATAGAATACCTTTAAGGTTCTACAGCACATATTCGGTGTTCCTATAGAACACCTTTAAGGTTCTACAGAACATGTTCCTTGAAAACAACCATCATGTTCTACAGAACATGTTCTGTGTTCCTATAGAAAGACCTTCAGGTTGTACAGAACATGTTCTGTATTGCTATAGAACACCTTTAAGGTTCCAGAGAACATGTTCTCTTTTCATATATAACACCTTAAAGGTTCTACAGAACATGTTCTGTGTTCTTAAAGAACCCCTTTAAGGTTCTACAGAACATGTTTTTGTTCCTAAAGAACACATTTTAGGTTCTACAGAACATGTTCTGTGTTCCTATAGAACACCTTAAGGAGTGTACAGAACATGTTCTGTGTTCTTAAAGAACACATTTAAGGTTCTACAGAACATGCTCTGGGTTCCTTAACATCATCTGTCCTGTTTCTGAGCTGATGATCTCAGGTGTTCTCTGTCTGTTCTCCTTCAGGTTCCTCTGTGGAAGCAGAAGTCGGGACATGGCGATCAACCAGTGATCTGGGTCCGTGATGTTCCTTCTATTTAACCATCACTCTGATGTCACAGACCCTTCTTTATGATCATGATGATGTCATAATGAGGTCATTAATGATGTTATCCTGTGTTTCTTGTGTTCCAGGATTACCACGTCATCCTGCTCCAGGTCTGTCCTCAGTTCAACTCTCTGATTTATGATCTGGACTCTCAGCTGTCGTTTCCATGCAGCCTGAATCTGTACGCGAGCCACGCCCTCCGCACAGATTGTAACATTAAACCCACCTACCACAGGTAACACACACCTGAACACCACAAGTAACACACACCTGAACACCACAGGTAACACACACCTGAACACCACAGGTAACACACACCTGAACATCACAGATAACACATATCTGAACACCAATGATAACAAACACCTGAACACCACAGGTAACACATATCTGAACACAAGTAAACCTTATCACTGTGATGGAATGATGACATCACAGTGTTGCTTTTCTGTCTGCGCTTGTCTTACAGGAATTTCCGTGTGGTCCCTGCTGACAGCTTCCTGTGTAACTTTGCTTCTGATCGGTCTCACATGAAGAACTCTGATGGGTCTTGGAAGATGCCCCCCCCACCATACCCCCCCATACATACAGCAGGTAACATGATCCACCTGTAACCTGTCATCAGTGACATGATGTGAGCATGTCTTTGACCTCATGATGACATCACTGTGCTGTGTCTCCTCCTCAGAGACTCAGATGAACTTGGATGACTTCATCAGTATGAACCCGGCGGTGGGCTGGGGGGCGGTCTTGAGTCTGGATGACTTCCTGCAGAGATACACATCAGACTTATTGTGGTCATCGTCTTCCTCGTCATCGTCTGCAACAGGCTCGTCGTAATGTTTCTGTGTCAGGAGCACACTGGCGTGTCTTACACCACTAAGGGAACTGAACTTTTGTTTGTCCTGTTTGTAGAAAATAGAAGCGTTACACACTGTGTGGTCCTGTTGTAGCTCTGGTCACCACAGGGGGGCACTGCAGGAAATTCACTGCCCCTCTGAAATTCACTGCCCCTCTGAGCTCACTGATAATGTCTGTGTGTTCACGTCACTGTAGGGCTTTAATGACTTCCTGTTCTCCTGTAGTGTGTATGCTATAAATGTGATGAGTTCATCAGAGGTTCCCTCACTTAAAAACGTTTGCTTGTCAGGGATATGTTAAAATAATGTTGGCAGCCAGTAAAAAAGCAATAACAAGAAGGTGGTTAACTTCAGAGGCCCCAACAAAAGATGATTGGATTGGAATTGTGACAGAAATATATAGCATGGAAAAGCTGACTTTCTCCCTTAATCTTTGTATGGACAAATTTAATAACGACTGGAGGAAATGGACAACTCATTTCAATATGATAAACCCTCATCACAATGTTTGATTTATAAAAATGCATATGTATGTTGGAGTACAACAGCCCCCTCTAGTTTGCATCTGAGGTCCCGGCAGATGGATTTGAGTTCTGTTCTGGTTTGATGTGCACTCGTCGCACTTAGATGTACGATACTGCCTAAACACTGATAAAGGAACTGTATGGATATACAAGAGGAAATATCCTTGGATATATGAGGACGCAGATTGACCTTACAAAAGAATGCACTAGAGAAACGGGCACAGACTGGAATGAACTAATTCCTAATTCCTTTGTTTTGTTTTTTATCATGCATTCCTGTACTGTTTTTGTTTCTCGTGTAAGCCTGTGCTTTTTTTTTCCTTCTTTTTTTGTGTGTGCTGTATAACACTAAATAAAAGGTTTGTTTGTTTACACTTTGAATTGTTATCATCTGTCTTGTGATGATGTCATCTCTGATGTCACAGTGAAGATAGTTACCACCTTATTATTATTGATACATATTATGTTTATCGCTCTCTCACTAATAATAACTAATAATAAAATGAGGTTTGTTGTTAATAGGAGGTTTTAAAACACCACAGAAGAGTTTAGATCTTTAAATGAACCCAAGCAAACAGAGGTCCCCACCTTCAAGATGAACAGTCACTCATGCTGATGCTTTCTTTCTTACATCTGGACGTTTTGTTCTCAGTGTTTATTCTGCGAACCATATGACGTCAGAAGAACTACAGCGTCACACGGAGGGGCGGAGCTTACACACAACTCTCTCTGCCTGCGGACTGTTGTTGTTCAGCTCGACATCAGCTGCTAACAGCTTACGCCAGACAGAATGAAGCGCTGCTCCCTTTTTACGCGATTATGTTAGTTATCTCGGGTTAGCTCTGTTTAACCCGGGTTAGCTCTGTTTAACCCGGGTTACCTGTCAGAAGTAGCAGCAAGTCATAGCTAGCCGCTTGCATCATTAGCATGTTGAAGCTAGTTAGCCTGTGCTGTAAATATTAGCTGCTCGTTAGACATTAGCGTCCTTTAGCTTATTGTGTTCTGTATTTAACGTAAATATTTGTTTGTTTTGTTTGTTTTCTCACTGTTACCATGGAGACTTGTCTGTTTAACGGTCCAGCTGGTCCCCTTCTCGGGGCTAACAGCTAGCTCGCAAACATTAGCTGCTGTCTCTCTTCGGTCTTTGTTAGCTTACAGCTTAGCTTAGCATCGGTAGCAGGGTGGACGATGATCAAACAGACCGTTTATTGTCGGTGTAGCTGATGCTAAGCTAACAGATCTGTGACCTGTCAGTGTTGTTAGGCAGATTTCACGGGTTTCTCTGGTTGGTGGCTGATATGCAGCTGTTAGCTGATCCAGCTGTGCAGTGACCTTCATCATCATCATCATCAACGTGTGGGTCATTATGGCCCTCAACTCAGGCTGCAGGCACAGCTGCTCTGCACGTGTTGTTTACCTGCTCGTCCTGTCAGGTGAGTTCCCCTGTTGTGTGTCTCCAACACTATTTTAACTAAGTTGTCTGTTACCATGGCATCAACGATACAATGCTGACACCCAGCATTTGAAAATTAATAAAAGTAAACAAACTCCTGTTTGCTGTCTAAATTGCAAATAAACAAACATTGACCATATATGGAAAAGTGGGAGGGGCACATTCCTCTGCAGCTCCTTCCACTTTCCATATATGGGCAATGTTTTGGTTTTAAAACTCGCTCAGAAGGGCAGTTTCCTGATGACTCGGTTGGGCATCAGAAGATGCCGACACGTCTGGTCATTCTGCGACCATGTGAGCAGCTTCCTGTTAACATTGTCTGCCTTTTCCCAGGATGCATTGCTGCGTCTCAGAGGAATGACAACGTCTACGTGTCAGGGATTTCTAATGGTGAGGTCACAGCATCTAATATATCACAACAATTCTGGAAACAATTAGTGACGGGCTAACCCCTCTCTCTTTCCAGCCTGCGGTGAGGGGGCGGAGCTTCTGCGAGCATCCAGCGGCGTCATCACCAGCCCCGGCTGGCCCTTTCAGTACCCGTCCAGACTGAACTGCAGCTGGAACATCAGAGCCCGACCTGGAGACACCATCACCATCAGGTAACAATCAGGCAGTTTCCATAGTCACAGCATAGGGATGGGTCATGCATCAAAGTCGATATAATGAATAAAACTCAACATAATTTCAGAACCCCACAAACATTAACCCTAGCTGAATGGTTAATGGCCAAAGTACATTAGAGACCTTCTGATTATCTATGAACCAACCATCGTCTGGGACCGGTCCGCTCTCTCTCCCCAGAGTCAGAACCAAACACAAAGAAGCAGCGTTCAGTTTCTATGCTCCGTATATCTGGAACAAACTGCAGGTCAACTGAGACTCATCTGTTAACCTTTTAACAATGTAAATACATTTATATGTTTCTTGTTTCCTCTGTCATGATGCTTTGGATGTGTGAAGCTCTTTGAATCGCCTCATTGTTGACATGTTCCTTTCAGGTTCTAACATGTTCTAACAGGTACCTTTTCTCTGGCTCTGCAGCTTCCAGGACTTTGACCTGCAGGGTTCCCATCGATGCTCGTCAGACTGGATGTCCATCAGCAGCTACAGGAGTCTGGATGGGCTCAGGGTCTGTGGCTCCTCCCTGCCTCCACCATACATCTCCACCCAGGACCACGTGTGGATCCACTTCCACTCTGACGACAGTGTGACGGGGAAAGGCTTCAGGCTGTCCTATGTCAGCGGTGAGGACTGTTTCTCTGCTGCTGCAGACTCACACACCTGAACATCAGCTGATCCTTACAGTTTCTCTGCTGCTGCAGACTCACACACCTGAACATCAGCTGATCATAACAGTTTCTCTGCTGCTACAGACTCACACACCTGAACATCAGCTGATCCTTACAGTTTCTCTGCTGCTGCAGACTCACACACCTGAACATCAGCTGATCATAACGGTTTCTGTGCTGCTGCTGCTGCAGATTCACACACCTGAACATCAGCTGATCATTACGGTTTCTCGGCTGCTGCAGACTCACACACCTGAACATCAGCTGATCCTTACTGTTTCTCTGCTGCTGCAGACTCACACACCTGAACATCAGCTGATCATAACAATGTCTCAGTGTGTGATGGAGCATTGTTTCAGTGTGTGATGGAGCATTGTTTCAGTGTGTGATGGAGCAGTGTTTCAGCGTGTGATGGAGCAGTGTTTCAGTGTCTGATGGAGCATTGTTTCAGTGTGTGATGGAGCAGTGTTTCAGTGTGTGATGGAGTAGTGTTTCAGTGTGTGATGGAGCAGTGTTTCAGTGTGTGATGGAGCAGTGTTTCAGTGTGTGATGGAGCATTGTTTCAGTGTGTGATGGAGCAGTGTTTCAGTGTGTGATGGAGCATTGTCTCAGTGTGTGATGGAGCATTGTTTCAGTGTGTGATGGAGCAGTGTTTCAGTGTGTGATGGAGTAGTGTTTCAGTGTGTGATGGAGCAGTGTTTCAGTGTGTGATGGAGCAGTGTCTCAGTGTATGATGGAGGATCCAGCAGTGAGATTATTAACTGATGATTCTGTATTATTGTAGGTAAACCAGAGGCGTCAGGCTGTGAGGTGGATCAGTTCCACTGCTCTAATCGGAAGTGTGTTCCTGACTGGTGGCGCTGTAACGCTATGGATGAATGTGGAGATAACTCAGACGAGGAGCTGTGTGTCGACTCCCCTTTCTCCTTCCAGCCTTGCAGCCTCAACCAGTTCCCATGCCTGTCACGCTACACCCGAATCTACACCTGCCTACCGCACAGCCTGCGCTGTGATGGCAGCATCGACTGTCAGGTAACGCTCACCTTCAGTCACTTCCTGTATCCTGGTTCCAGCTACTGGTGTCTACACTGTTGAGTTTTTGTGGTCATAACACCTGACAATGATAATTAAACTGAGTTGACAGACCATCATCTTGACACTCAGACCTGAGACCCGTACTAAGAAGGGTAAGGATTAATCAGTCTCTATAGGAAATGTTTTTACATCTGTGAAGTCAAACGTGACTCTCTTAGCAGAAGCAGCGTGTGTCACCGTAAAATGAAATTGATGAAGAAAAGATAAAAATCCAGGAGAAGTTGTCTCACTTTTAACAACGGCAGAAAGTTCAGTCCCTGACCTGCCCATCATCAACAGAACCCTCTATCCATCATCAACAGAACCCTCTATCCACCATTAACAGAACCCTCTGTCCATCATCAGCAGAACCCTCTGTCTGTAAACAGAACCCTCTATCCATCATAAACAGAACCCTCTATCCATCAACAGAACCCTCTATCCATCATAAACAGAACCCTCTATCCATCAACAGAACCCTCTATCCATCAACAGAACCCTCTGTCCATCATCAACAGAACCCTCTATCCATCATCAACAGAACCCTCTATCCATCATTAACAGAACCCTCTATCCATCATCAACAGAACCCTCTATCCATCATTAACAGAACCCTCTGTCCATCATCAACAGAATCCTCTATCCATCAAGAATAGAACCCTCTGTCCATCATCAATAGAACCCTCTATCCATCAAGAATAGAACCCTATTTCCATCATCAATAGAACCCTCTATCAAACAACAGAGCCCTCTATCCATCATCAACAGAACCCTCTGTCTGTAAACAGAACCATGTATCCCATCAACAGAACCCTCTGTCGATCAACAGAACCCTCTCTTTCCTCAACAGAACTCTGAAGTCAAGTTGAAAAAATGTCCCTGCTCACAGGTCATACCTGAGCTCCTCACAGGTGGGACCTCCTCATAGGTGGGATCATATTAGGACACCTATGATGATGTTGTTGGTAGAAGCTCACACAGGTTTCTTCAGTGTATGGAGCTCTTCCCCGTTTCTCTCTGTGTTCTGGGCGAATCTCTGCTGAGCCGTTGACACCTGTCATCCTGTTCTTCCTGTTTAGGACCTCGGGGATGAGATTGACTGTGACGTTCCCACTTGTGGAGAATTGTTGAGGAACTTCTATGGGTCCTTCAGCTCTCCAAACTACCCAGATTTTTACCCTCCAGGGAGCAACTGCACCTGGCTGATCGACACCGGAGACCACAGGAAGGTACGGCAAGTTCACCCGGCAAAGGTTAAAGAAGGGAGTGTAACTTCCACTGTGATAGCCCCTCTGTGATAACCCCTCCTTCCTCTGTGCCCCTTGCAGGTCATCCTGAGGTTTACTGACTTTAAACTTGATGGGACAGGTTACGGAGATTACGTAAAGGTGTACGACGGGCTTGAGGAGAACCCTCGCCGTCTCCTCAGGGTGCTGACAGCCTTCGACTCCAGGGCGCCGGTCGC